GATATGTAGCTCAGTGGTAGAGTGCCCCTGGGTTCCAAACCCAGTACCAGGGAGGGAAAAAATTTTTATTAACTCATTTGTTCCCTATTTATGAGTATTCCAAGTGGGTTCCAAGAGAGGCAGCATGACAGTTACAGAAGTCCTGACTTCTAGAAATGGTAATAACTAAATAAAGTTTCTGCCTTCCAGCCTCGCCCAGTGATAAAAATACCACCACAGGTATGATCATTTCTTGCATATTTTTTATTTTTTTCTGAAGCTCTTTTTCTTTCTATGGATTCCTTTCTTTCTTGTTTTTTGGAGAGTACAAGTACTTGCTTAATTCCAATTCTTCCTCAAAGAATATTTTTCGTACTCTTCACTCCCCCCCCACCTTTATTAACTCAGCTTTTATGTACTTATTTTCAAAATGGATTCCTGTCCTAAAAGTCACAAAGAAGAGACTGCTGTTGAATGGTCCCAAAACCACTCTTTCTGTACATTACCTTTGGACTTTATTTGGTGATTAATGCATTGGGAAATAAAATCAGTTTGTCAATTTACCACAGACATCATGGTTAAAATTGCTTTCCGTAGATGGGCCTAGCTGTGCTTGACTAAAATCCCAGGGACTTGGGAGGCAGAGTAGGAGGATCACAGTTTAAGGCCAGCCTTGGAAATCTAGGGAGATCTTGCCTAAAATTTTTAAAAATGTTAAAAAAGGGGGCCTGTAACTCAGTGGTAGAGCACTTGCCTAGCATGAAGCCCAGGGTTTGAGCCCCAGTAGTGCAAAAAAGAAAAGTGCTTTCCCTAATTTCTTGATAAGTCTCTTCTACAACTAGGGTTGAAATCAGCTAGAACAGAGATATAATGACTTTAATTCTTGAATCAAGAATTCTCATTCTTCAGAGTGAGATCATCAACATTTCAGTTTAATATTTCATATTGCTACATAGATAATCCTAAAAAGTCTTCTTTTTATAAAAACTTTCCCTTAGAGGATTTTATTTCTCTATTTTTGTATGGACCACTTATTAAATTAGAGGGCTAGAAAAAGACATTTTTTTCTTAGAATAGTTCTCAGAAATTATTTTATCCACCTCTTCTTTGAGGTAGGGAAGCACCTAAATTTCATTTTAGTCAGTTTCCTTTTGCTCTGCTTTTGGTAAGTTGGAAGGACAGCCCCCGATTTATAATGATCCTCTATAGAAACTACTCTGTATTTTTTCCCTATTCTGTATTCTTCCTCAGCTCTTTAATCCTTCATTTATACTACTTCTATTTGGACCTCCCTATTTCTTGTGTGTGTGTTGGATCTCTTCAGAGTGCCGGGATGAGAAATTTGCTTGTACAAGACTCTACTCTGTCCATCGACCAGTCAAGCAATGCGTTCATCAGGTCTGCTTCACCAGGTAAAGGAACCCAGAATGCCCAGACAGCAGCTTCCATGGTAGTCTTTTTGTATCAGTAACTATTTAATAAGTACTCACTGAGGAATTGCATCATTTGATGGGGCAGGTGTTCTTAGCATAACTCTTCTAGCTATTCCTGAAGGTGCTGGCTGTACCTCTGGGTAGAGGTATACAAGGACAGACCGACTAATAGATGTTAGAAGATAAGTGAAGGTGAAAGCTAAAGAAAAAGAGGGTCATAAAGGAAACACTGGCATGTTGGATTTATTACCTGATTGAAAGATGCTAAAGCAAAAGACTTAGATATGAAGGTAGAAAATGGAAAGGAGCAGTGGACTTGACTCTAGGTGGAAAGTGTCGATAGGAAGAGGAATTAGCCTGTTGCAGTGGTGCCTGTAATCACAGCTACTGGGGAGGCTGGATCAGGATCATTCCAAGTTCAGGTCTGGCAACTTAGCCAGACCCTGTCTCAAAGTAAAAATTAAAAAGAAGTGGGGATGTAGCTCAGTGTTGGAGTACCCCGGGATTCAATTCCCAGTACGGGAAAGAAAAGTAAAGTAGGAAGGAAAGAAAGAAAATTAATATCATTCCATTACCTGCATTCTTCCGAGGGGTAAAAAAAAAAAAATAGTCATATGAAATACCTAAGGAAATGTAGATGGGGGAGGCTAGATAGGGGAAAGTGGGAACTACAGAGTTGAAGAGCAGCCTAGGCCAAAGTTAGTTCTTCCCCTCAAGACTTTTTTCTATCTCTTTCCTTGACCATGATACTGGATGTTGCAGTTTACGACGTATGTACATCATCAACAATGAGATCTGCTCCCGTCTTGTTTGTAAGGAACATGAAGTTATGAAAGGTAAGTTGACATCTGGATGTTTAATGGGGACGAATGATTATGAGAGAGGTAAGTAGGATCCTGATCCAAGATCCAAGGATTGGTTTGGAGGAGGACTCTGGCCCTAGGCTTTAGCTTTTATCAGCCCCTAATAGACGTTTCCCCAAATAAACAATCTAAGTAAAGCAGTGTGCTTAATACAAATACAGACCTACAAAAGTGCCCCTAGATCCTTTCCCATCTAAATGGCAGTCCCCCTAGTTTCTCTTATATAGACAGTTTTTTAAAGCTCTGTTTTAAAGGTCAACCGCTGGGGTTCTAGCGAGAGGGCCAATTCGGCAATCACAGATAATATGCTCATCTAGTCAATGGTCAAGTTCATAGCTCTTTAAGGAAAACACACATACACACATACACACACACTAATGTGGAGACAGTAAGGTTTGGATAGGGTATATAAAACAGATAGCATGATGGTGCACATCTGTGATTCCAGCAGCTGGGGAGGCTGAGGCAGGAGGATCGAAAGTTCAAAGCCAGTCTCAGCAATTTAGTGAAAGCCTGTCTCAAAAAATAAAAAGGGCTGGAAGTGGTGGCACTCAGCTGTAATCCCAGCGTCTTGGAAGGCTGAGACAGAAGAATTATGAGTTCAAAGCCAGCTTCATCAAAAAGCAAGGTGCTAAGCAACTCAGACCTTGTCTCTAAATAAAATACAAAATAGGACTGGTGATGTGGCTCAGTGGTCAAGTGCTCCTGAGTTCAAATG